AACAGGGCTGAGAGGTGGGAGGGAAAGGGAGAAAGAAGGGAAATTGCATGGAAATGGAAGGAGACCCTCAGGGTTATACAAAAGTACATACAAGAGGAAGTGAGAGGAAAGGGAAAAATAATACAAGGGGGACAAATGAATGACAGTAGAAGGGGCAGAGAGAGAAGAGGGGAGGGGAGGGGAGGGGAGGGGAGGGGAGGGCGGATAGTAGAGGATAGGAAAGGCAGCAGAACACAACAGACACTAGAATGGCAATATGTGAATCAATGGATGGGTAACTGATGTGATTCTGCAATCTGTATATGGGGTAAAAATGGGAGCTCATAACCCACTTGAATCAAAGGGTGAAATATGATATATCAAGAACTATGTAATGTTTTGAATAACCAACAATAAAAAATTAAAAAAAAAAGAAAGACAATTTAAAGACTATATGTAGTAGAAAAGAGAAAGTGGGATATTTACTATTCTGAAGCTTGCTTTATCAATATTCTTTTTTTTTTAAATATCTTTTAGTTATAGATGGACACAATACCTTTATTTAATTTATTTATTTTTATGTGGTACTGAGGATTGAACCCAGTGCCTCACATGTGCCAGGCAAGCACTCTGCCACTAAGCAATAACCCCAGCCCCTCAAATTTCTTTATAAATTTTATTTTATCAGTCCTGGGGATGGAACCCAGGGCCTCATTCATGCTAGGAGAGTGTTCTACTAGTGAGTGACACCTCCAGCCCTTGCCACTGAATTTATTCATATTTTTAATAACATGTTAAACTACATTTGGAAATGAGAATCTGTCTTGATAAAAAATATGGAATATATAAAGCAAAAGTTGGCCTGATCAAAAAATTCTTTAGAGATTTATTTGTGTCTTCTGACCAAGTGAACTTAGAGAACGAATTGTAAGTTACAGAATGATGGTTCAAATTTGAAAGGAGGAATTTGCTAAGTAAGAAACAAATTCTTCTTTACAGAACCCAACTCATTTAAAATGAGAGGCAAAACTGATAGATGGTTTAAAAGGAAGTTTGACTGAAGCCTGCCTCCTGTACCCATAGCTACCTGCCCACAAGAATGTGGCTCCCTGGTGACAGCTGCACTAATTATAGAAAAATGAGTGGAAGATAAATTATGTAAATTTACATTGACTGAGGATCCTGCTGGAGCATTTAGGAATTTTGATTATTAAAATAAACTGAGGATTTTCTTACATTGAAAAGCAATTAAAAGATGAAGAATAATTTGCTATGGGCTTAGAATGAAATTTAAATCAGCTAAAATAACATTTGCTAACATTACTGTAAATTATATGCAGGTAACAGCCATTTTGTGGATTTGAGAGGAAAAATCATGTGACTTTCGGTGGAAAATTTAACTATATTTTGTTTATTTAAAAAAGACACTGAAAAAAAATCACATTTTTCATAACACTCATTGTTAAGTAAAATAAGAACCTACAACTTTCCCTGCTATATTTCAAGTAGTTTTCTTATTTTTAAAAAAATATTTTTTAGTTGTTGATAGATCTTTACTTTTTAATTTATTTATACGTGGTGCTGAGAATTGAACCCAGTGCCTCACAAGTAGTTTTCTTATTTTAAAATATTATCCTAGCTTAAAAATTGAGGATTAGAAAACAGGAAGTGGGAAAGAATGCAGAGTCAATCTTCTGCAAGAAAACTTTTTGTGTGTGTTTATAAAGAGGAGCTATTGAAATAAGATACATTCATGAGGATGCTTAAACTGATTTTTAAAACTCATTTAGAAATTTGATAAGCTTAACCTTAGTGAAGATGTTAATAAAAGGAAATGAAACCTGTATTTAAGATTTTTCTTAGTGAAACGTTATTCAACACTTAATTTAACATGCTGTAATCTTAAATGAATCTTTTTACATACTCAGACACATTGGAAATGCAGCTAAATTGTTTCAGTCACCAACTCACTGAAGAACAAACAAAACAAAACAAAATTCCAACCATGTATTACTTGCTACATGTCAGAAAGGCTAAGGATCTACTCCAAGAGCAGTACAATTCATGGGTAATGTTTTTTTCTCTGCATGAGCGAAGAAAACACTGTTACATCAGAGTCAGAAAATCATGTTAATACATGATTTTATTGCCATTCTCGGCCCCCAAATATGTATACTTCAGTAATGTGCAGCCTAGGGGAGAGTTCCCAAGCCTTTTTCCAAAGGCAACTCTCTCAGGAATGATTTGTATTGTACCAATGCGGACAGACAAAGGACAGCTTGAGGATCCCCTAGTGTTCACATTTAGCACTGACAGCACTTTCATCTGTAACTGTGCCTTACAAACAGTAACTAATTAAGAGGAGCAACACCCCTGCAAGGTATTTAGCAGGATGTAAAAATGAAAATCCACAAGCAAGACAGCCAGGATGATGCATAAATGATGAAGTGTTAAATCATCATGACCTGAAAACCAGCAGGACTCCCTCCCTCCCTCTTTTCTTGCCATGGTGTCTTTGGGGAAAAGTAAGAAGTTAGGTTTTATGCCATGTAGGGGAGGGGCTGATGTCTGGGTAGGGGGAGGTGAGAGGATGGTGATAATTCCAAGTATCACATTTGCAAAGGGGAAATGTTCTACGAACACAGAGAAGGGGCTTCAAGACTCTAGCCCTTTTAGAAGTACCCCTAGAGAATACAAAATCAATACAGAGTTTAATTAATCTACTACAGATTGACTTCGCATATCGAAGCCCCAGGTAGGAAAGTGCCATGCTGAGAAGCCAGACAGTGCACAGTTGTAGAATGTGAGAGGGAAATAGGAAGGACTGTAGAACGTGCATTTTTGTTCTCTCAGGTGGAGGAGGGCACTGTCACTGCCCAGGGTCTGACTGCATAGACTTTGCTGTCTTTTTCTTCTTTTCCTTTTTCTTTTCTTCTTTAATTCCTTCCTTCAATTCTTTTTCTTTTTCTGTACTGGGGATTGAATCCAGGGCTTTGAGCTCTTTATCATTGACCTACATCCCCATCCCTTTTTACTTTGAGTCAGGCTTTCTCTCGATAAATTGCTGAGGCTGACCTCAAACTCGTGATCCTCCTGCCTCAGCCTCCCAAGTAGCTAGGATTACAGGTGTGCACCACCACAGCCAGCTTTGCTGGCTTTTTCTATGAAAGTGTTCTCAACAGGTTAACAGCATTACACAACCTTGAGTGAAATGAGTTCAGTAGCTTTTAGAGGAGGCGATGGAACTTCACTGCAGAAGAATCTGCAGTTCAGGGCTCTGAATGAAGAATTTAAAATTGTTTATCACCTGAGCCTCCATTTCTTCATCTTTGATAGGGTCTAATAATTTCTCCCTCAAAAGGGGTGCTTGAAAGTTAAATGAGATGGATGTAAAAGTGCATATGTAAAGGTATATGCTTGATGCATTGTATTTCTTTTTGTCTAATTTGCCTGAGTGTGCTGCAGGGATGAGGCAGGGATATTCGGTCTCAGTCCCAGGAAGGCTGCCATTGTTAGAAGCAGTGCCAGACTTAGGACTTGCCAATGATGCGCTCTCATGTCAGGCGCTATGTTGCCCAGAACAGTGTCCACAAGCAACATGTGCTATTGAACACTTCAGTGTGCTAGTCCAAACTGAGGTGGGTTGGCATTGTAGATGACGAATTCAATTTTGAAGTCTTAGTTTAAAAAAATAAAATATTTTACAAATGATTTCACATTAACTATATGTGGAAATTAGAATATTTTGGATATATTGAGTTAAATAAACTATACTATTAAAATTGATTTTGTCTCTCTTTTAGTATATTTGGCTTTAGAACACTTCAGGTTGTATATGAAGCTTTCGTTGTGACTCACTCACATTGTTTTTGTTGAATAGCATTGCCCTAGAACATCCACTCAAATGTCTCAGATAATATATTTAATCAGTTAAAAAAACAGTTTGAGGCTTAGGTATGACGCTGGCAAGGAAACCAAGAGGTATCTAGGACAGGGGTCAGGATTTTGCTCGTTGCTGTGAGACACTAAGGGCCACGTGGGCTATGGGATAGCCTGCTTCTTTGATCACTAAAGGCCACATCAGTGGTCAGAGCTGGTGCCTGCAGTGGGTAGGGATGAACACCAAGTGGCTGCTGCTGGAGGGTGGGCACAGGGTGACTATAGGACGAGGATTTAGTGTCACACACCAACTGGTATCAGAAATTTTCCCTCTAATGATTTCTCACAACCACTGTGTCTTGAAGCAGAATCCTGAGGGTCAGTGGACAATTATGGACAGCAAGACAAGGCTACAGATAGGAAGAGATTTGGTGAGTCAATTACAATTTTGTGATTGCTCCTTCTACCGTGACTGCATGTCAGCAGAGAGAGTCTCACACTCTCAGTAGCATTTCATTCAAGCCGCAACACTGAGGAAGAAAGCCACACTGAAGACACAAGAAAAACAAGTCAATCCAGTCTAGAGAACAACATTCAGGGAAACGGTACCAACACCTTCTTAGAACATGGAAATGAAAAATAACTCCATCAGCGCTCCCTCGCCAAACAGCATGTTGAAAGTCCAAAGAACTCTATTCATCAGTGCCTTGGGTCCTGTGGAGCATCTCCATCACTTACCATAAGGAAGCAATGAATTTAAAACTACTTTTATACATCGAAAAGAACATGGATAAAATATAGAGATCTATAGACAATTGATGAGCATAAGCTACTGGAATTGTTACATCTATATGAAGAAAAAAGGGGGGACTCTCAATCTCTGTAAGAAGCAGTGGGGAAATGTGTGAGTGGAAAGGGGGGGGGGAGTTGTGTGAGCGCAGTGGAGTGTGAGTTGGAAGATGCTTGTAGTGAACCAGGCCTGAAGAGCCACCTGTAGGGATAGTAAACGTGGATTCACAGTGTGAAATTCTGAGCATTTTCACTCCAGTCAGAATGATTAAAAGCTGTGCATTGTAAATTCTCTAAAGCAAGGCTCAGAGTCCCATGGTTTCTTCGTATACTTGATGATTTACACAGAAAATTTAAAATCCTATATGTGATACCATGACCTCATCAGTACCCACACATGGTATGAAACACAGATGGAGGTGTTGCCATTCAAACAAGTGGAGGTAACTGATACTTGGGGAGTGGGGTTCATTGCTGCCCAGTGGAGTCAGGGGGACACTGTTGGTCTCATTGATCTTCTTGTCATTCACTTCCTTTGGGACGTGAAACCTTCTCTTAGGAAGGCTTCTCTCCATTTCCTTGCCTGCAAACGGTTCTTGACTGACCCAAACGAAGAGTTCTGGGTAGTGAACAATGTTGGAGGCTGGAAGTCCAAACAGTATAGTGCCAATTCCAGTGAGGGCCCCCTGACTACAACACATGTTGGTGGATGGTGTCACAGCAGAAGCACCTTCACAACTTTGGAGAGCCCTCACAGCCAGCTGCTACTGTGGGAGTTAGTGTCTTGGAGGAATACTGTTTTAGTCTGCTTTCTCATTGCTGTTACCAAAACATCTTAAACATGAATTAGAGTTCCCATCTATTTGCGCCTGTGGGAAGTCCTCACACGTTCTGCTGGTCTGGAGACAGAGAAAAAGAGCCTAATATGCCCTCTCAAGTCAAGGTGGTAGTCACTTTACCCAGGGGTGCTTAACTACCAAGCCACAACCCTTTTCATTTATTTTTATTTTTTTAAATTTTGAGACAGATTCTCTCTAAATTGCTTAGGGCCTTGCTAAATTGCTGAGGCTGGTCTTGAACTTGCGATCTTCCTACCTCAGCTTCCCGAGTCACTGGGATTATAAGCATGCACCACCCAGCCCTGCTAACTTTTTTTAAAAAAAACCTTATGATCGTGACAGTGAAATGTGTACTTTGTGATTATTCATTTAGTTGTATATTTATGATTTGTGCATTTTATGTGTACAATGTTTTGCTTTCCTTACTTATCTTTAAAAAGTTTGAAAAGGCACTCTCAAATATGTAAATTTTTTGTTTATATACTTCATATACATTAGAAAACCTACAAAATGAAAAGCAAGAAAGAATGACAGAAAACATGACTAGAAGCCCTAATCCCTTCCTCCCACACCCAGTGATCATGCGTACCCCTGGGATGTGCACATGCCTCTTTGAAGATTGTTACCTTAGAAGTGGCTCTTGTCACACTCCTGAGGAAGTACACTGAGAGGAACTCAATGATTATAATTGAAGAGAAACAAAATTACAACAAAAATTGTAACAGTACACAGATTAGCCATATGCAACCAAAGTGAAATATTACAAATGTAACAAGTAAGAAGAAAAGGCTGATTTCAGCTGCCCTCAGCTACAGCATTTTGTTAAGAATGAGGACAACCATTTTTCCATTCTGAGCAGGAGAATGGGAGTCCCATTCCACATAGGGGCTCCCAGAGGTGACAAGATCAGCCTTTCTGCCTTCCTTTCCTATTTCCTGCCTTCCTTCTGTGGCCAGCTATGTTGCCCAGGCTGGTCTTGAACTCAAGATCCTTCTGCCTGAGCCCCCAAGCAGCTGAGATTACAGGCATATGTCATCATACCTAGCTAAATATACACCATCTTTCTGATGAGACTTGTTGGGACACTCCTGTTGCCAAGCTTGAAGAGACCATGGACTTGAGCAATGTGTCGAGGCTACGTGCCCTGGAGACTAGAAGGTCTGCCCTGCATATTCTAGACTAAATGAGACCAACTGGGACTCTTGCATGACTTTAGAGAGGGTGAAAACCCCAGACCATGATAGAGATTAATTTCCTGGCAGCAGAATTATTTGAATTAGAAGCACACAAAAATGTGACAAGTTTTTAATTAAAAAATGTCTTAATTAAAAAATGTATATAGTTACATAATTAAAAATGTCAAATAAAAATAAAAAGCAGCCTGCTTCATCTCCACACTGCAGATTCCCACCTCCCTGAAATGACTACCTTCAATGTTTTTAGTTATTGCTTCTAACTTTGCCTCTATATTTCTTTTTTTTGGGGGGTGGGGGGGGCTTACTGGGGATTGAACTCAGGGGCACTTGACCACTGAGCCACATTGCCAGCCTTATTTTGTATTTTTATTTAGAGACAGGGTCTTACTGAGTTGCTTAGAGCCTTGCTGATGCTGTTGCTGAGGTTAAATTTTAACTCGCGATCCTCCTGCCTCAGCCTCCCGAGCTGCTAGGATTACAGGCATGCGCCACCACGCCTGGCCATATTTCTAAATAATGTATTTGAGTGGCCTTTTCTGAAGTTTTTGTGCTTTGACAATTTATCCAAAAAATCCTTACTATGGAAGATGAAAATTCAACTCTCTCCCTCTCTCTCTTTCACACACACACACACACACACACACACACCTATTACCTTCCCTCCTTCCAGTCAATATGGTTATATCACAGTTGTTCATTATCAATAGAGTGTTTGCATTAGTATGATTATGTAATATGCACAGCAGAGCTAGGTAATGTTACTATGATTGTCCTTTCTTGAATAATGTTTTATTTTAGTTTTTAGAGTTAGTAGTACCTTTTAATAACATTGCTTTGTTTTCTATTTGCCTAGCTATCACTCATTCATCTTCAAACTTTCTCATTAAACAATATTTCCCTCTCAATATGTCCAAACATTAGGAAATCTATCATTTTTCGGTCATTTTGTATCCTCCTATACTAATCTGGACATATATATATGGTTGTCATTCTGGGGTTCCCCTCCTCTATCAGTCTTGCATTTCCATTTGTCCTTATCTCTTTCCTTCCTTCCTTTCTGTGGGGGTTTATGGTTATTTTATTCATTTACTCCTTTTTGATGAGGATTCAGCAATGTGCAGGTGCTACTTTTTAAATCATTATTATTTAAAGGGAGACTTAGCAAGTACTGGGAATGTGAAAATTGCTAGCCTGAGATAATTCCAACTATCTGCATGATGGTGGGACTTCATAGAGGAAACTACAGTAGTCCTCATAGTCTTTTTTTTTTTTTTTTTTTTAACTGGGGATTGAACTTGGGGGCACTTAACCACTGTGCCACATCCCCATACCTTTTAAAATATTTTATTTAGAGACAGGGTCTTGCTGAGTTACTTAGGGCCTCATTAAGTTGCTGTGGCTGGTTCTGAACTCGATGTCCTCCTGCCTCAGCCTCCCAAACCACCGGGATTACAGATGTACACCACCTTGTCCAGCCCTCATAGTCTTTAAATTTAAATTTAAATTTAAACATTAAATTTCAGTCTACAAACATCAAATTTAAGTTACTCATTTTTGTAAGTTCTGGAAAGTAGCTCTTAATCTTATAGGAAAGTGTCTGCTTATGTGATTATAAGTCATTCATCTTTAAGAACCAGGATATTTTAAACTATAATGAACTGAGACACATAAAATATGCTAAAAAAAATCTATGCAGTCACAAGGAACCCTCCCCCCCCCCCCCCAAACAAACAAACAAAAAAACATCTTGGCCATCATTGGAGGATATTCACCGCTGTGAAAAATGGCAAATAAAAAGAAATAATAAAACATCCTGCCCCCCCCCCACCAAAAAAAAAAAAGGAAAGAAAAAAGGAAAAAGATGCCTGAATATAACAAACAGAGTATGAGAGTGAGCTAGTATGTATGACCTCTGTCACCCCACTGCTCTAGGGCTGATCTGGCTGGCTAGGTGGGTGTGTCCCCTTCCTCCTTCACTGCTCCACATGTCCCTCCTGAAGCTGTGCACTCTGTCCAAAAGGACAACCTTCCAGATAGGGGAGGACTGTTCTTCCGTCAAGGGTAAATGAGAAGCTGTGCTCACCTGCCTGAACCTCCAAACCAGCTCTCAAGATACCCAACAGATGATAAGGGAAAGTTTCCTTTAAAGAACATTTCCAGTGAATAATGCAGAAGGACGAAATGATATTTAACCATCCTTAAAGAAACAGTGGATGCAAGCAATGATTATGGCACAGCTCTAGGCCATATCTCTGGTCCAACTCATGACCCCTGCCTTAGAACAAACTTTGTTCTTGAGCTAGACCCATACTTTTCTTGGAAGCACGACTTTTGAGCACGTTTGTCCCTTTGATCAAAAACTCTAGTGTCTAGCCAGGGTGGAATGAGAAATATTACGCTTATCAGACTGACCAAGTAAGAACGGGTAGGAAACGCTCTACCAGGAAGACCGCAGTCCCTTGCAGAGACTAACTCTGTTGATTTAATGATAAGAATCTGTACACTAAGGGTGTCAGCCAGCACAGGAAGTCCGTACTGGTGGAGAGTCACAAGTGCCCCAGTCAGGACAGCCTGCGGCCACATGGACCAAAAACTCCAAAGGGCATTCCTTAAACACAGGCAAAGGGCAGCATGTCTAGACTTCTCTGTGTCAGGAGACTTTTCCGGTCACTGAAAGGGATTAAGGGCCTGGGAAAGAGCCTGAAACCCTGCCTCTTCTTTCATCCCTGTGATTGGTTGATTTTATTCGATTTTAAAATAATTCTGAGATTCTTCCTAAAACACCAGAGAAACAACAGAATGTGGGAGAAAATAATTATTAAAAAATAGATTTTTTTTTTCTGTGTTTCCATGTCTTGCTCATTGAATAGGTTTATTTTTATTTGGTAGGATAGTGGAAAAGTACACTGTATCAACTTTAGCTTTGTCAAGATCAAATACTGATAGTACCATACAAAGGAACCACATCAAGCCCTGAGGACAGGGGTGGGGGTGCACAGATATGTAGAAGATGAAAATGTAGTCTCTGCCCTGCAAGATCATACATTGTAGAAGATCTAAGAATTACATAAAATAAACATTGAAGACACTGTAACACATGATGTGGTAGTTCTTGTTTTTGTTTTTTCCCTCATAGTGCTAGAGTTTGAACCCAGGGCCTCCCACATGCTAGGTAAGGAAGGACTCTACCACTGACCCACATCTGTAGCCCTGGGCAGTCATGTTTTTAATGCTCATGACCTCTTGTTCCAGTAGGTTAGGCAAGAGGTGACCAACTGGCTGTCAATCCTGGCATGGTCTGACTAGTGTGGTCTGGCATAGAAAGACATTCTGAGCCAATGAAAGTCTCAGGGACAATTAAATGCAGGAACATGGGAACAACTCAAGTTGAAGGAGTCCATATGAAAGTCAAAGGTATAAAGAGAAGAAGGTGATGCTGGGCTGCCTAGGATCCTAAGGACTTTCTAGTTCCAGTTATAGGTCCCTTTATAAACATCCCCTTTATCCCCCAGTGATTTGAAGTAAATGGAATGGATTTCTGTTCCTTTGTCAAGATGATCTGATTAAATTTTATGGACAGGCTGAGTGTGGTGGCTGACTACTGTAATCCCAACAACCTGGGAGGCTGAAGCAGGAGGATCAAAAGTTTGAAGCTAACCTCAGAAA